ATATATATATATATATATTTCATTTTGATTTATGTGCTGCTATTTTTATTTATTTATTTATTTCATACAACAGTATAATATTAAAAAAAAAAAATAGAGGACTTATCATTTTTCTACATGTCACTCAATTCCATATATTTTCTTCTAAAGAAATGCTACGTGATCTCTTTATATAGCACACCCTATTTTTCACCATTATTGATATACTTATGCATAAATAATAAATATTTTTTGTTATTTATGCGTGAGTATACGTATATGTGAGAGTAGTTGAAAATGAGAATGAGATAAAAATTATTGTTACATTTGAAAGTTAAAATACTTAATTAGAATAGGAAATGACATCTCATAATTGTAAGAAATCAATGACATGCTGTTAAAATCTTTAAAATATTAACTCATTTAAGATGTGTGAAAATGAATACGCTTATATATAACAATTTTTTCTCAAAAATAAATAGATTTTTTTAATATTAATTAATTTAATATATTGTCAAAAATTAACTAAGTTGATAGATATTTACAATATAATTTCTCTTGGTTTATTTGAGTTTTTGAGAAAAGAGATGAAAAAGTCTATATATTATAATACAAAAAATATCTCCAAAATAATTAAAATGACAAATACATAATAATTATTAATAATTAAATAAAAATAATATATAAACTAATTGATAGTTTGATTTGATTTAAATTTTATATAAATTTAATATTCGAATAAATCAATATTGAATAATTTAGATTTAATTGGTTTGATTCAAATTTTAAATATTTTTTTAAACTAATTTAATTAGTTTAATTTCGATTATAAGTTCATCAAGTTGATTTCCAATCATAACTCACATCTATGTATGCACTAAAACTTGCGATGATATATTTTGTTTATAAAAAAATTATGACAATGATAATCAACGAATGAAATACATCAACTTTAAATCAAATTCAAGTCTAACAAAATCTTTGTTAATTTAAAATGTAAAAAGTATTATTAAATAAAGTCGAGTTATAAAATGTGACATAATAAATTATTTTTATATATACTAATAGAAAAAAAGAGTATTCGTGTCTTTTAATTTTTTAAACTTAAAGAAAAATAATTTAAGAGTGATTTTAAGTGATTAATTATAAAATATAAGAGATTTTTCTTTTAGATGCACAACAATCCATTAAAAATGGAGATAAAAAACAGTTATACTTTTTCATATGTTCTTTATAATATAATAATATATAAGATGATGCCAAAATGATATATTATAATTAAATAAACATTTTTTTAGTTCTTTTAAATATTAAATTAAGCTTATTTGTAAAAAAATAAAAGCAAAATTTTAATCATCATAAATTTATTTAGATTTTTAAATAGTCTTTATCACCATTTACATTTACAAATATGTAGTATACATCTAGACATTCCATGTCACATGTCACCTTAATATAGTTGTTGATGTAACATGACTAAATGCTTGTTAAGTTACTACTACATAATGACAATGCATGACCATATTAAGAAAAATAAGAATATAAATTTATAAACTAAAAAATCAACAAAAATTTAGAGAAGTAAAATCAACTTAACACTATATTTTTAAGAATTAAAAAAATTAAATCTATTATAAAATGATATATTAGTACAATAATAAATGAATTTAAAAACAAAATAAACAATTCTATATATATATATATAAATCAATTAGCCACTTAATTTTTAAATAGTTTTTCTTGCTTACAAAGTGTGTCATTCTTCTAGAACAACATAAACTAAAAAAACCTCCAAAATTTTAGTTAAAACTTAAATTAGCTAGTGCCGGCAGTTGGCAGGTACAAAATAAAATAGCGAACGATAGCTTTCTATGTATGAGTCAAGTAGAATTCACCATCCAAATCAAGTGTCACACATGTACACACTCATGTAATTCCCAATCCCATCTTTTCCTTCTTCTTTAACCTTTAATTAATACATAAATTATATATTATTAATGTTTTTCTTTAAATTGCAGCAATATTCGTTGCTTCATAGCATCTAGTCATAGCCACTATCTTTGACATATGTAGCTATGTAGGTCTTGGGATACAATTATAAGAGTGTGGATAGAAACTTATATCGTTGAATTGTGCTATGAATCTGTCAATTTGGAAACATAGGCAATCTTCAATCTCACAAGACTTCAAAAATATCCAAACTTTTGTAAAAAGGTTAATAACAATATATATTTTTTAATTTTATAAAATGAAGTACTATTCTACATATACATATTTTTAGGCTACAAAATGATCATACACATATTTTTAGGCTACAAAATGATCAGTTCCACGAGGGCAATTAATAAGGAGCATGGATATAATTAAACCCCATCTATTTATCTTTACAGTTTTCTTTTTCATCCACTATAAAAAAGCTATATATGCAGACTTTATGGAAGTATGGAACTAAATAGAATAAATTAAAGCAAGCATTGCACTTTAACTTATCCATTTCAACAATTTATTTTTACTGCTTATTTTATATATTTATAATAATAGTTATAAGTAAAAGTTACCCTTTGTTTTTCTCGTTTTTGTATTGATGACAATAAAATTAATTGTCAAACTTACTTCTTACAATTTCATATAACTTACTTAATCTCTTTATTATTAATCTAATTCTAATTTGAATAACCTAATCGTAAACTATATAATTATTATTGTAGATTTATTTTTAATATTACTGCACGAAAAGAGACTTATGAATATTCTTTTCTTACAAAAATACGAAAATAATGATTGTTGATAAAATTAAAAATTACTTCTTTCTATAAATAGTGTTGCCTAAACACGAAGTGATGGGATGATTACTCAAAACTCCATTATTGGAAGAACATAAATTTTTTTTTATATAATATAAAAAATATAATTAAAATATTAAAATTTATTAGAAAAAGTAAAATAATTATGAAATAATATTAGATATAAAGAGAAAAATGCGATACATTATTGACTTTTTTTCTTTTTCTTTTTTTATTATTGTAAATTTCATAAATATTAATATAAAATAATAAACAAGAGTTGCCTTTAATTTTCTCTTTTCATTTATCTATAGTTTATTTTATTTTCTTTCAACTTTTTAAATCATGACCCATCTTATTTTAATAAAACCTTAAAATTAAATTATGAATCTCCTCCTCTTTGTCACAGACTTCTTTGTTATGTGTCACCATAATTAATATATTTTTTTGTTACATAATGGTCTCTAATAATAACTCATAGTCTTGTATTGTACATTTAGTCATTTGTTATGAAATTGTGTTTAACTACTGTATATTTACACTTTTAAGTTTGAATATTAAAGTCATAAGTAATATTCAAATATTTATGAGAACATTATTTTTTCACTCGGAACATTATTTATGTTTCCTCTTAATTATCAGTCCAACTTATCTCTATTCCAAAATTATGGTTGCTCGAATTTTTAGAATTTAGTTACTTAGATTAAAGGAGCAACATGTCAAACAATTATTAGCATCAATAACAACAAAAGCTTTTTCCAACTAAGTGGCACTACAAAAAAAAATCAATTTAGCCACTGAAATTAGCGATCGATTTTTTTCCATCGCTAATAGCGTTGAAGAAAGTGCTACATGGGAGTTAGAAAGCAAGATGCGAGAAACTTATCTATTTTTGTTTTCAGGAAAATTTCGGGGACGAAATTTCTAAAAGGAGGGGAGAATTGTAACACCCCAATTTCCTTAAAAGGATATTTTTATTAGTAATGGCATTTTCGTAATTATTGATGGCATTTTCGTAATTTTA